GATCACAATGCTTTGAAACTAGAACTCAATCACAAGAGGAAAGTCGGAAAGAACTCAAATACATGGAGGCTAAAGAGCATCCTACTGAAGAATGAATGGGTCAACCAGGAAATTAAAGAATTAAAAAAATACATGGAAACCAATGAAAATGAAAACACAACTGTTCAAAATCTTTGGGATGCAGCAAAGGCAGTCCTAAGAGGAAAGTATATAGCAATACAAGCTTTTCTCAAGAAACAAGAAAGGTCTCAAGTACACAACCTAACCCTACACCTAAAGGAGCTGGAGAAAGAACAGCAAATAAAGCCTAAACCCAGCAGGAGAAGAGAAATCATAAAGATCAGAGCAGAAATCAATGAAATAGAAACTAAAAGAACAGTAGAACAGATCAACGAAACTAGGAGCTGGTTCTTTGAAAGAATTAACAAGATTGATAAACCCCTGGCCAGACTTATCAGAAAGAGAAGAGAAATGACCCAAATCAACAAAATCATGAATGAAAGAGGAGAGATCACAACCAACACCAAAGAAATACAAACAATTATAAGAACATATTATGAGCAACTCTATGCCAGCAAATTAGATAACCTGGAAGAGATGGATGCATTCCTAGAGATGTATCAACTACCAAAACTGAACCAGGATGAAATAGAAAACCTGAACAGACCTATAACCACTAAGGAAATTGAAGCAGTCATCAAAAATCTCCCAAAAAACAAAAGCCCAGGGCCAGATGGCTTCCCAGGGGAACTCTACCAAACATTTCAAGAAGAATTAATACCTATTCTTCTGAAACTCTTCCAAAAAAATAGAAACGGAAGGAAAACTTCCAAACTCATTTTATGAGGCCAGCATTACCTTGATCCCAAAACCAGACAAAGACCCCATCAAAAAGGAGAATTATAGACCAATATCCCTGATGAACATGGATGCAAAAATTTTCACCAAAATACTAGCCAATAGGATCCAACAGTACATTAAAAGGATTATTCACCATGACCAAGTGGGATTTATCCCTGGGCTGCAAGGTTGGTTCAACATCCGCAAATCAATGTGATACAATACATTAACAAAAGAAAGAACAAGAATCATATGATCCTCTCAATAGATGCAGAAAAAGCTTTTGACAAAGTACAGCATCCTTTCTTGATCAAAACTCTTCAGAGTATAGGGATCGAGGGTACATACCTCAATATCATAAAAGCCATCTATGAAAAACCTACAGCGAATATTATTCTCAATGGGGAAAAACTGAGAGCTTTCCCCCTAAGGTCAGGAACGCGGCAGGGATGTCCACTATCACCACTGCTATTCAACATAGTATTGGAAGTCCTAGCCACAGCAATCAGACAACAAAAAGAAATCAAAGGCATCCAAATTGGCAAAGAAGAAGTCAAACTCTCACTCTTTGCAGATGATAGGATACTTTATGTGGAAAACCCAAAAGACTCCACCCCAAAACTGCTAGAACTCATACAGGAATTCAGTAAAGTGGCAGGATATAAAATCAATGCACAGAAGTCAGTGGACAGAAGAAAGAGAAATTAAGGAGTTGATCCCATTTACAATTGCACCCAAAACCATAAGATACCTAGGAATAAACCTAAACAAAGAGACAAAGGATCTGTACTCAGAAAACTATAAAATACTCATGAAAGAAATTGAGGAAGACACAAAGAAATGGAAAAATGTTCCATGCTCATGGATTGGAAGAACAAATATTGTGAAGATGTCAATGCTACCTAGAGCAATCTACACATTCAATGCAATCCCCATCAAAATACCATCCACTTTTTTCAAAGAAATGGAACAAAGAATCCTAAAATTTGTATGGAACCAGAAAAGACCCCACATAGCCAGAGGAATGTTGAAAAAGAAAAGCAAAGCCGGCGGCATCACAATTCCGGACTTCAAGCTCTATTACAAAGCTGTCATCATCAAGACAGCATGGTACTGGCACAAAAACAGACACATAGATCAATGGAACAGAATAGAGAGCCCAGAAATGGACCCTCAACTCTATGGTCAACTAATCTTCGACAAAGCAGGAAAGAATGTCCAATGGAACAAAGACAGTCTCTTCAACAAATGGTGTTGGGAAAATTGGATAGCCACATGCAGAAGAATGAAACTGGACCATTTCCTTACACCACACACAAAAATAGACTCCAAATGGTTGGAAGACCTCAATGTGAGACAGAAGTCCATCCAAATCCTAAAGGAGAACACAGGCAGCAACCTCTTTGACCTCAGCTGAAGCAACTTCTTCCTAGAAACATCGCCAAAGGCAAGGGAAGCAAGGGCAAAAATGAACTATTGGGACTTCATCAAGATAAAAAGCTTTTGCAAAGCAAAGGAAACAGTCAACAAAACCAAAAGACAACCGACAGAATGGGAGAAGATATTTGCAAATGACATGTCAGATAAAGGGCTAGTATCCAAAATCTATAAAGAATTCATCAAACTCAACACCCAAAGAACACATAATCCAATCAAGAAATGGGCAGAAGACATGAACAGACATTTTTCCAAAGAAGACATCCAAATGGCCAACAGACACATGAAAAAGTGCTCAATATCGCTCGGCATCAGGGAAATCCAAATCAAAACCTCAATGAGATACCACCTCACACCAGTCAGAATGGCTAAAATTAACAAGTCAGGAAACAACAGATGTTGGCGGGGACGCGGAGAAAGGGGAACCCTCCTACACTGTTGGTGGGAATGCAAGCTGGTGCAGCCACTCTGGAAAACTGTATGGAGGTTCCTCAAAAAGTTGAAAATAGAGCTACCATATGATCCAGCAATTGCACTACTGGGTATTTACCCCAAAGATACAAAAGTAGGGATCCGAAGGGGTACATGCACCCCGATGTTTATAGCAGCAATGTCCACAATAGCCAAACTGTGGAAAGAGCCAAGATGTCCATTGACAGATGAATGGATAAAGAAGATGTGGTATATATATACAATGGAGTATTATGCAGCCATCAAAAGGAATGAGATCTTGCCATTTGCAACGACGTGGATGGAACTGGAGGGTATTATGTTGAGTGAAATAAGTCAAACAGAGAAAGACATGTATCATATGATCTCACTGATATGAGGAATTCTTAATCGCAGGAAAGAAACTGAGTGTTGTTGGAGTGGGGGGTGGGGTGGGAGGGATGGGGTGACTGGGTGATAGACACTGGGGAGGGTATGTGCTCTGGTAAGTGCTGTGAATTGTGCAAGACTGTTGAATCTCAGATCTGTACCTCTGAAACAAATAATGCAATATATGTTAAGAAAAAAAGAAGAAGAAGAAGGTAGCGGGAGGGGAAGAATGAAGCGGGGGAAATCGGAGGGGTAGATGAACCATGAGAGACGATGGACTCTGAAAAACAAACAGGGTTCTAGAGGGGAGGGGGGTGGGAGGATGGGTTAGCCTGGTGGTGGGTATTGAGGAGGGCACATTCTGCATGGAGCACTGGGTGTTATGCACAAACAATGAATCATGGAACACTTCATCTAAAACTAATGATGTAATGTATGGGGATTAACATAAGAATTAAAAAAATGATAAAAAAAATGACAGTAAACAGGAAAAATGGGAATTCTAAGGATCAACAGGATTACTTATTTTAACAATATTGAGGAGAGTTTTATGGCACTAGCAGTCTAGGGATGAATTAGTGATAGGTACAGAGAAAACTAAAGGAAAAAAACAAGGCAATGATGATCTCCAAGGAACGTAAACTTTTGTACGAGAGGAAATGTGATCAGAGCATACTAGGTGACTCCGCTATGAACGTGGTGATAATAAATCTTCAATTGATTTAGCCAAAAACTATATGACAACAACACAGGGAGCTGCTAAAAGGAGAGGTCACAGGTTCGTGGGTATGATGCTGCCAAAGTTAGTGTGGAGAACTGAATTCTTACCTTCTAAGTAAGCAGTCCACAGAGGTCTACAACTGGAAAATCAATACACAGTGCAGGATTACTTAGAAATATGGAGGTAAGTACTAGAAGAAAGAGCTGAAGAGATTCAAGGAGCTGCCACTAAGAGTCATAAGTAAATATAAGCAGAGATGGGTACAACAGAGGAATGCCTTCCCCCCCCAGTTATAAACTATGTTTAAAAATTGCTATTTACCCTCCAATACCATTCTTTCCTTTAAGAGCAGTAAGAGTGATTTGGGTATAAGTCTCCCAGATGAAAGTTAATGTTCCAGACTCCCTTGCAGCTAGGTGTTGGCCAGGTTTCTAGATTCTTGTCAATAGCTAAAAGCAAAAATGATGTGGACTTCTGAGTCAAGCTCTTAAAAGGGAAGAAGCGTACTTTCCTCTTCTCTTTTCCTCTTTCTACTGCCTGGAATGTCAAGGTAACATCCTCAGGGTCCTATCAGAGCAGCCACTCAGACCACAGATGGAGACTAGGCTGATGCAGCAGAGCATCAAGACAGATGGCACCAGGGCGCCTGGGTGGCTCAGTTGGTTAAGCGACTGCCTTCGGCTCAGGTCATGGTCCCGGAGTCCTGGGATCGAGTCCCGCATCAGGCTCCCGGCTCAGCGGGGAGCCTGCTTCTCCCTCTGACCCTCTCCCCTCTCATGCTGTTTCTCTCTCTCTCTCTCAGATAAATAAATAAAATCTTAAAAAAAAAAAAAAAAAGACAGATGGCACCAGGGTCCCCGACACCGTGCAGCCCTCCTCCTCAAGCCAAACTTCTATTTTCTTTAAGCCACTGTTATTTTGGCCTTTGTTAGGGCAGGCAAATGCATATCCTAACAAACATATAAATCCTAAATTTAAATAAAAGAGAGAGAGAGATAGCACTGAACTGAGATTTTTTAGTAACTCTGAAAGGTATTTTCGAAAAGAACCATCAGTTGGTCCTGGAGTCCTTGGTAAGTAAAGTGCTGCTTTTAATGAGTAACACTCAGGATCAAACTAGAAAGACCAAATACTTATCATCAAGAGAACTAAAAATCCCATGCCTGGTATAAGCTCTACTCACCTTCTGGCTTTCTAAATGAGAGTCGGAATCATCCAAAAACTCGAGGGCTGGAGAGTGCTTGTCAATGACTGTCCTTCGGTCACCAGCTATCTCCTCAATGGGTTTCTCCTGAGGGTCTATCACCACTCTCCTGTCGCAGAAACTGCTCCTCTCTGGCACAGCCTTTTTGTCCTCTGCTTTCACCTCCGGGGCTGACTCTTTCCCTTTCTGAGGAGACACAGTGACACTCCTGGTTGGCCCTTCTCCGCGGCTGGGACGCTCTCCTCTGTTCGGCGTTGCCCTCGTGGCAGCCTCTCCTTTCCTTTTTGGCATCGACTTTCCCAGGATGCCCTGGATAGCCTTCAGGTAGATCACCGTAGAGCCCTGGTCTCGAAATCGATCCCTCTTCCTTTTTTGCACCTTGTTTGGTTCCTCATTTGTATCATTTTGACCCTCCGCTTCAGCTGCAAATTCAGAGTTCGTGGAGTTACGAGAACTATCTTTTGAATCAACCTGGAAGCGGGGAGGAAAAAAAAATCTCAGTTCGTGAAAGGGTTATCTGAAGGGCGATTACATATAGGAAGCACTCAGCAAATTAGAAATCAGTGGCTGCTGCACCAATCACAGGGAAGGTGACAGTGGCTAAGATGAAGATTCTCTCCCGGAGGGTTCCATCCCACCCCACTGAGAAGTGCCACTGTAAAAGGGCCTGAATTGCTGCCATTTCATTATTCACTTTCTCATGCCCATCAGGTAATACCCTCACACTGCAGCAGGCAGGAATAAACAGAGAAATGAACAGTCTAGTAACACTGAACTGTAAGCTCCCTGAGGCCAAGGACTACCACACACTTGAGAACACACACAGGCAAAAGAGCAGCACAAAACTTCAGCACTAAAAGGGTCTCTAGAAACCAGCTAACACAATCCCACATCTAAGGGTCCAGGAGATCCAAGGGCCCAGGGAGGAGTAGACTCCAATCTCCCAAGTCCTGACAGCAGAGTGCAGGCCTTATTGAAGTTCTCTGCCAACTCCTTCCCCCAAATCGAAACCTCGGTGCCAGAAGGCGTCTGGTCTCCCAGAGAATGCAGGAGGGTCAGTCCAGAGACTGTAACTACCCCCTGACTCCTAATAATCTCCTCATAAACACAGGTGAAGTCTCAGCCCCATCCTTCCTTCCCCTGAGCACTTACTCATTCCAGGAGCTAGACTATTTGTTTTCAATGTTAATTTACTGTGAAACTCAGATCCAATCCAATCCCAGCCTGGGCTAAGAATGCTCCACAAATCTATCCCTAGAATCATCTCGAAAGCAGTGAAGTCCAAACCTCCCCAGCTATGACCCAGACTGACCATTATCCCAAGGCCTTCTTCAGTCCCTACAACTTGCACTTCTAATTCATTTGTATTAAATCCCTCTCAAATATACAGAGAAAGAACTCCACACTAAGCTTGCTGATCTTTTTTCTCTATTGAGGAAAAGTAGTCTACTCCAAGAGATGTCCATCAATAAGGGAGTGGTTACACAAAGAGGTTTATGCTCTTATTTTATAGACTTCTCATATAATTTGAGTTTTTTCCAAGAAGTACATACTATCTTTGTTTTTAAAAAAGCCTTTTGAAATATGTAAATCTAGATAGTAGTATGGCATAGTATTTTTTACCAGAAGTACTCAAATTGTTGGCAGCTACTAACTTTGATGAGATGGACAGGAAAGGTGGCTTTTACCTTACATTTTGAACCTCTCCTAATTTTCTAACGTGGTGGACATTTTTGAAAAATGTCTACAGGGATTATCCGGGAAAGGAGATGATAAGCCTCTTTTTTTTATACCTTTCCCTATGAAGAAAATCTAATAAACATTAAAAGCAAACTTGAAGGGGCATCTGGGTGGCTCAGTCATTGAGTGTCTGCCTTCGGCTCAGGTCATGATCCCGGGGTCCTGGGATCGAGCCCCACATCGGGCTCCCTGCTCAGCGGGAAGCCTGCTTCTCCCTCCCCCACTTCCCTGCTTGTGTTCCCTCTCTCGCTGTCTCTCTGTCAAAAAATAAATAAAATCTTTAAAAAAAAAAAAAAACCTGAAGATTCCCCACGCACGCCCCATGGGATACAGCCACGACGTCTCAGCCTGCTTCCCCGCGGCCTGCTTCTCTCACTACGGCCAGCCACCCGCCATCCTCAGGCATCCCCATTGTACCGTCACAGGCAAACCTAATTCCCTTTGCTTGTGACACCCTTGCCTCAGTCTCATTTTACACTTGATAAACTCGTATTCATCCTTTAAGGCCCCAAACCCCTTCTTTGACTTCTCCACCTCTGCCTGTGGGACCAGCTACCCCTCTCCTTGCCCTCCCACCCCGCCACAGGCCGGGTAGAGGACAACATGGGAAGATAAGGTCGACAACAAACGGAGGAGCCCCTGCACCTTCTGAAGGGTCAAAGCTCCTCACTTCAAACCAACTGCTGCCGCTTGCAAGTACAGACCCAGAGTTATGGATTCCAGTTTCTCAGATAAAACAAGAAATCTCAAATTGAATTCATTTTTCCATTCAGCCAGCAATGTTTTGTGGAGCACTTACTATATGCCAGCAGGTCCTGTTTTGAATATGCGGGTTTAGCATCCAATGAAACATATAAAAATACCTGCTTCCTGGACCTTCTATTCTAGGTGGTGAGGGAAAGGAAAACCAGAAGAAAGGCAACATATGTATTTTGGAGAGTGAAAAGTGCCAGAGAGAAAAAGAACACAGGAAAAGGGAGTAGAAAGTGGGGAAGCAGAAGAGGGTCACTCAAGTCTCCAGTTCAAGGTAGAGGTGTGGACCGGAGGCATATATTTTTAATGTGAAATCTCCAAAATATTAAATACTTTGAGGACCTAGTGGGCCACATTCAGCCTATGGACCACCAGTTTGCCAACCCTGGTAGTGAAGACCAGGACTGCACCTGTCGGAGAAAAAAGGGTTAGAATTAGAATAACATACCTTATGTTTTCCTTTTTTTTTTTTTTTTAAGATTTTACTTATTTGACAGAGAGACAGAGAGAGGGGGAGGGAGGGAGGGAGGGAAAAGCAGACTCCCCACTGAGCAGGGACCCAGACATGGGGCTCCCTCTCAGGACGCTGGGATCATGACCTGAGCTGAAGGCAGATGCTTAACCAACTGAGCCACCCAGGCGCCCCCATACCTTATGTTTTCATGTGGCCTTACAATTCCCAGAGCTGCCATGGCTGTCATCCCTCTTGTAGGGAGAGGGGAACTGCCACATGGCGTGTACGTGGCAGAACCAGGAGGCAAACTCAAGCTCCCCCTAATATCCTGGAAACCAAGGGAGAATAGCGAAAATACGAAAATTGAGCAACAGTAGCAAAGGCTGCGATGTCAAAGACCATGAGGACCTGAAATGGATCCAGGTCACCCAAGATCCTCAGAAGTGGAGTGGAGGCTATAAAGGTAAAGACGAGGCCTTAAGTTCAACAGAAGAGACAAACCACTTGGCTTCAAACAGGAGCGATTTCATTCTGCTGGCGCTGCTGCGTGGTGAATTATGCGCCTCTGAAAGCAGGAGGCAACGACTCAGTGGAGATGCTGTTGCAGCGCTCGGCGCCGCCAGCCTGCACCATTTCAACAGTTCGTACCCAGCTCCCTGCCTACTCCCTCCCATCCTTTCTCTGCAGTGTGCCAGAGGAGCTCTAAAATCTGCCAACACCACACCTCTGCTAAAACCCTTCAGTGCTTCTGCATTTGCCCACAGGAAACTTCCCCAACTCCTGGGCCTGACTTCAGAAGCCGTTCACAGGCTGGACCCCAGGCTTCTTTTCCAGCATCCTCTCCCACCTTTGTCCATACACCCAGGTGCCTGGGAATGAAGAAGGGCGGCTGGAGAAAAGGGAAGTGAGGACCTTCAGGAACCACGCGTCTCCCAAGTGCTTCAGACCAGCAGCATTTCCTGACACACATTGTTCTGTTGCCTGAAATGTCCTCTCCTCCTCCTCGTCTGTCAAGAGAACTCTGACAGCACCTCTTCTGTGAGGACTTTCTCAACATTAGTCACTCATTCCTCTGACCCTTGGTACTTCAAATGCCCCTGTTACAGCACTCCACACAATGCTTGGTGATGAAGGACTTTTCAGTGCCTCAACCACTGCCTTCCTCTTCACACCTCTAACTCCTAGCATGGACTTCCACCCAAGCACCGGACATCTGCTGGGTGAAGACGCAGGAACCAGGATCACACAGGAAAGCTCTGTCATTCGAGAGCTAAGATACACAATGGCTTCTTGTGTCTGGGCCTGTACCACCCTGCAGAGAGCTCCTCAAGGGGGAGGATCTTGCCCTCTTCGTCTCTCCACCCCTCACACTAACACTAGCCTGGGACAGAACAGGGCCTCAGAGGGCCGCAGAGCTAAGAATGCAGGCTTTGAAGTCCCACTGATCTGGGGTAGCACAGCTTTGCCGCATACAAGCTAGATGGCCTTGGTCAAGTTACTTAACATTTCTGAGTCTCCTTTCCCAGCATCTACACATACTAGGTGCTCAAATATTTGTTAACCGATATGTAAATATTTGTTAACGGACACGTAAAGATAATACTGCCTATTTCATAAGACTCTCAGGATTATGTGAGAGCTTATGGGTCAAACACTGAGAATTCTATTTGATGAAAGTCTATCACATCATAAATGCTCCAATTTTCCCTTCCAGTCTTTCTTCCCTAAAGTAAATGTAGGAATGAAGAAGGTCATACTTAAGAGTAATAATATAAGGTAGGTGAAGGTGCTCACAACAGACAAATTTAATCTTTCTCTACAGAAAAAACGAAGATCATCAGCTACCATTAGAATTTGAGAAAACCTCTCAAACAACTGTCCTAGAGGAAATAAGGAACAAACAGTAAGAGGCTGGCCAGCAGCAATCTCTAGTGAATCCAAATTGCCCAGTCTAGCTATTGTCTGAATGGGTTCCCCCAAAATTCATATGTTGAAATCTAACCCCAAGAAGGTGGTATTAGGTCCTTTGGGAAGTGATTAGGTCATGAACGTGAAGCCCTCATGAATGTGACTAGTGCTCTTATCTACAAGTCCCCAAGAGAGCTCCCCTGCCCCCCTCTGCCATGTGAGGACAGGAGAAATCTACAAACCAGAAAAGGGCCCTCACTTGACCATGCTGGCCCCCTGATCTCAGACTTCAGCCTCCAAAACTATAAGAAATAAATTTCTATTATTTATAAGCTACCCAGTCTGTGGCATTGTTACCAAAGCCAGAACATTCCCCTCTGAATATTTTGTGACCTGGCCGAGACCTCTGTGCTGAAGGTGGGGAGGAGACAGATAATGGGGGACCCACACACAAAGCCAAGCGTTTACCCCTCAAAATTTACAGAGCAAATGCAAAACAGGTAGATAGGTGGGTAAAAGTAGGAATGAGGGGACCTTAGAAGGACCAAGGGGGAGAACATGCTGTTTTTGTGAGTGCCACTGGGCTGTGATTGTTGACAGGACTCAGGACTTACTAGAAAAACAAGCTGGACATAACTGCAGAGTATGAGGGGAAGAGGTGCAGACTGAGAAAAAGATAAGAAAGGCATTTTGTAATTCATCAAGATGAGTCAAGTACTGTACCTTGTTTTCAAACTAACACTAAAGGGCAGAGCCCTTAGCAGTGCTAGAGAGGGACAATCTGAATTAATAATATCAACATCCCCATATTCTATCCTCACTCAATATGAGTGATCTTTCAAAAATGCACATCTGCCTTCCCTGTGTATAGAACTCTACATAACTCTTTAATGGCTTGGAGTAAAATCCAAATTCCCTTGGCTATTAAAGCCCCAAAGCCCCGTTGCAATCGGCCCCCTACCTAGCTCTCTAGTCTCCATTCTGGGCTCTTATGCTCCACACACATCATGAGGCAGTCTTGTGACTTCTCAAGCCCACCCACCAGGATGTGTTCCCCTTAGAAGCAGTCTCACGGCTCCACAATCCAACAAAGTACTTGACACCCAGTAACCCTCAAGAACTTACTGACTAAAAGCAAGGCACCAACCCCACAACCTCTGACACAGGACTGGACTACTCACTGCTCCATGCTTAACCATTTAAATTGATTTTGGCAAAAAACACCCCGTAGGCCTAAATAAGATAAAGATGGGCCCATGATAGAATTAGACCCACCTGGATTAAAGGCTATTCCTTCAAATCTTGGTTCCTGGTCTGCAGGTCACCCTGAGCCAGGGATGCAGTACACCTGGAAGACTAGGCAGATTCCTACCCTTCTTGGAAGGCTTCATTCTATCTCTAATTGTCACTGAAGTCAAATGTAATCAATCGAGATTATTTCATGCTGTGCCCAAATCAAGTGAAAAACTGTATCAAGAAGGGTTAATGACAAGATTAAACTGTATGGGCAAAGCCCCATATTTACTTGATTTACCTGTGAGTCATATTCAATATGTATTTTTATGCTAAAGACAAAGCTTTTGAAATCACTGTTAAAAAAAAATCCAGGGGCGCCTGGGTGGCTCAATCAGTTAAACGACAGCCTTCAGCTCAGGTCATGATCCCAGGGTCCAGAGATTGAGGCCCACGTTGGGCTCCCTGCTCCGCAAGGAGTGCTTCTCCCTCTGCCCCTCATCCCGATCGTGCTCTCTCTAAAATAAATAAATAAAATCTTCGGGAAAAAAAAAAAATGTGCCATACAGAGTTGTGAGGTCCACGGTGAGAACACTCGGAGCACTTCACCTAAGAGTTCCCCAGGATAAACAGCCAAGGACAGCCTAGTTTCTCAGCTCCACATAATTTAACCACGCAGAAGTTTAGAGACACGTTCCTTAGTGCCTTTTTTCACTGCTTTTGTAAGATCACTTTATCTGAAGGCAGCCCATCTCACCCAACTAAGACTTTCCCTCCACTCTTCTTCACACAAAACTCCTCACCTCTTAAGGCCCAGAGCTCCAAACCCGGAATACAAACTAAGAGGGCAGTGATCTGTTTTGTTACTGGAGAATCCCAAGCAACTAGAACTCTCCTGGAATGATCTAGGCCCTCAGTAAATATTTGTTCAAAATATGAGACTGAAAAAGGGGATGAAGCTCACACTTGGGCCGGCAACGTTAGCTAGTACTCTCTCACCGGGAAAACAGCCAACTATGAGAGATGAATTGCATTTGCTTCTATTTCTCACAGACTCATGTTCAACTTTCCCTCACCGGGAAAATTTTATCCTTTTTTAAGTTCACATAAAATGAAACAGTGGAGGAAATGTACCTCCTCTGAGAAACCCTCCTGCATGTTCCCAATGGGGAACTAAATGTTTAAGCTCCAAAACAAACTCTACGCTACCCACCAACCAAAACCCCAAGGTGCCAGAAACTGTAACTTCAGTAAAAAGCTACACCAAGAACCAAATCCTTATTCTCAGTTCTGTGACTCAGAGAACTTCAAAGTACAAGGGCGCAATTCCTTAAATTTACAACTGAAATAGGTCTGTGTCTCCTGAGCAGGCAATGCACCTTCTACAGCAGTTATCCTCCAGCACGGCTGGCTGCACATTACAATTTACTGGAGGAGCATTTACAAATCTAGAAACCCAGACCACACCCCAACCCAATTAAATGGGAATGAGAAGCAGGCACAAACCTCCCAAGTAGTTTTAAAGTGCTGCCAAGTTTGAAAACTACCTCTCTATGGCACTGTAGGCCACCCCCCTTGGTCCCCCGGGTTTGTGATAAGCAGACCTCTGGGAAGACCCCAAAGATCTTGAAGGACATGACCCTTTCTAGTCTTCCACCAACAGCTCAAGCCACGTGGAAGGGGCTTCACCGATTCCAAGGCGTCGCAGCCACCTACCTTAAGGCTGCAGGCTTCCTCCTCTAGAGAAGCCATTTCTTCTGGAGAGGGGTTGACAGGGCGAAGAGGGGATCCCTCTGACGAAAGGAATCCCCGTGTGCTCCGAATCAGGCAGCCTTTGGCGGCAGCCCCGCCCACACCTGCGCCGGAAGAATGCGAGGAGGAGGAGGAATTTCTGCGGCAGGATGAGCCCCGGGGCAACCTCGGCGTGCAGGCCACATCGTCCTCCTTCTGGACTTTCAGGCGCTTGGGGCTGCTGGTCCCTCCTGAACGCGACGCAGAGCTGGGAGCTGGCCGGCTGGAGGGGGCCACATCACTGGGCTCCCGGAGGCAGCTGCGCTTACGGGGACACCCTTCTGAAGTGCTGCTCCAGTGGTACTTGACCTTGCGCCGCTCCGACGCCATGGGCACCTGCAAGGTAAAGAGGGGGCCTGGATTCCAACACCAGCCCTCTTCAGACTCCCGCCACCCTGGGTCCCCTGGAGGAGGGTAAGCCAGGTCAGAGTCCGGGGCCTCACTGACCTTTCCCCCTTCTTTCCACTGCCCATCACAGTTCTCAAGGTTTCGGAGATGCCAACGCGCTTCGCCTTAGTCAAAACGATCCGAGATTTACTAAGGGCGTCGGTTTGGTTTCCAAACCCACAACGTGCTTCCGCGATCACCAAGCGCTTCAGTTTGCACAGCGCTCCTAGGGAGATGTCAAAGCGCTTCCGGGATTACAAAGCGCTTCGATTTAGTTTGCAATACAGAGCCCTTCGGGGATGTCAAAGCGCTTCAAAAGACTACAAGGCGCTTTAGAGTCCACACATGGCGACCGGACCCGCAGCCTTTGGCGGGCGCTTGGCCCAGAGGCCCGGAATGCCGAGGGCGGGCCGCAGGGCAGGGCCAGAGCCGGCGCGCAGCCCGCCCTGCTCCCGCGGCCCCGCCGACCAGCCCCGGGCCCGAGGGGCCGAGGCGCCCCTCAGGAGCCGGCGGTGCCGCGCTCGGCCGCCACGGGACACCCTCCGGCTCGCCCGGCCGCCCCTTCCGTCCCTGCCGCCGCAGCCCAGACGTCGGCCCCGCCGCCCCCACGGCCCGAACGTCCCTCCCCGGCCGCCTGCTCGCCTCCCGCCCCAGTCCTGCAGCCCCCACTCGGCCTCCGCCCGAGCTCCGGCCACACCGGCCTCCACCTCGCCCGCCTCCCGGAACGAGCCCTGCGGCCCGCGGCCGGGCGTGCGGCGGGGGTGGGCCTTGCGCAGAACGGAGGGCACCCATTGCTCGAATCGGCAAGGGGCGGGACTCCGAGCAAGACGGAGCTCGCCTGTTGGCCAGGAGGCTTGGAGGCATTGGTCGGAAGCAAGGCGGGGCGGAGCCACTCACGTGGGCCAGAAGAGCGCGAAGCTAGGCAGGGCCGCAGTTCCCCCAGCCAGCCTTCCATGGGGTTGGGGGCGTCGGCCGACCCTCTTCCCAGAGTGACGCTCCCCGCTGCTCAGCGTTTTGCGGCTTAGCCAGACGGGTTCAGATCCTTTCCTCGAACCCCCACCAACATCCTGACCCCATTTGCAGAGCAGGAAACTGTGGCTCAGAGGGACCAAGTGACACACCCAGAAAGTGGCAGAGTCGGAAGTTAGGAGCCACAGGAAAAAAAGGCTACACAAAATGTAAAATGTAAAATTTTTGCGGGGCAAAAAATATCAAAGTTGAAGGACAAGTTACAAACTTAATAAAATATTCGCAACACATGACAAAGGGCTGATGTCCTTACTATGTAAAAACTTTTGTTTTTTAAGATTTTATTTATTTAACAGACAGAAAGAGGGCAGGAGCAGGGGGGAAGCGGCAAAGGGATCGGGAGAAGCAGACTCCCCGCCCAGCAGAGAGCCTGATGTGGGGTCGATCCCAGGACCCTGAGATCAAGACCTGAGCGCAAGGCAGACTCTTAACCTACTGAGCCACTCAGGTAGGGTGAGAAAGATGAAAGATGAAACTTTCTTTATGGGATACTTAGGTATTAAAATGGAAACATGCTAACTGGAATTAAAATAAAACTTTAAAAAAATAAAATGGAAACAGAAATGAACCAAGGAACAGACGCAAATTACAAAAGGCTCTTTAATATGTGAAAAAAAAAAGGCTCCACCTGTCACTTAAAAATACAAGTAAAATTATAAATTTTTACCTATTAAATTGTCAATGATCAAAAAGCATGATAATACTCTTTGTAGCTGAGGATGTGGGGAAATGCATTCCCAGACCTGATTCAGTGTAAATTGGTACAACCTCTTTGGAAGGCAGCACCCTTTGAAGTTACAAGAATGAAAAACCACCTCAAAATCCAGCATTGGAACCTAGTCCTACAAATTATGGAATATCCTTAGAAAGGAATACCAGGCAAAAAGACTAAAGTAATCCAAAAGTATTACTGAGGAAGAATGGCCAAAAAGGATGTGAAAAAATATGCCCATGCTGAAGCCAGAAATTCCAACTGTCTTGAGCTCAATCTACCTCGGTTTTGATTTTCTAATGAAAATCTAATGATATTAGATTAGTTAAGGAAAAAGATAAAATTTTCATCATCTTTGGAACGATACCCCAAACCAGGAACAGTGGTTGCCTGTGGGCAGAAGGGAGACACTAAAATCCCAGTGGAAAAAAAAAAGGCTTTCTTTCCACCACATAACCGTTTGTACTACTGGATTTTTTTGTCATGTGCATTTATTAACTAAAAAAAAAAAAAGTCAGGCCTTCCTTCTGAGGATTCATAGAAAGGCATCACAGTGGCCATGAGCCCCTGGAATTGATATACAGAAATGTATATGTACGTTTTTACAGCTTGCTGAGGGGAAAAGGTCTGTAGATTGACAGAAGTGGTTCATTGACCTTGCCACAAATGTCTGAAGCCATGGTCTGAAATGCAAGTATGTCTAGATAACCATTACCCTATTGGCACTAGCCCTCTACTGCTCAAACAGCCCTGAAAGCACCCTACTCATAACTGTAAGGTGCTTATCACATGCTAGGTCCTGTCTGTGGCATGTAACACACTCTAGTTGAATCCTCACAGCCACCAGAGCTTAAAACAGGGGTGTCAGTACAGATTACTGTCTGCTGGGACTGGAGCCCACTCAGCTCTGTTACATATCAGTACAAAGCTGATCTTGTTCGGGGACTACTGAATGCTTTCATGAAGCAAGATCTTCCCCTTGCCCTGACAAACCCAGGAAACAGAGGCTCAGAATAACTCCCTAACTTGACCCAAGATCACACAGCTACTAACACCAACATTTATAGCCACCCCCAACTCTTAGGCACTCCGTGATACCCCCTTAACATGGGTCCAGAGCCCCTTTTCCAAACAAATTCATCTAGACACAAAACTAATTGCAAAAGATCTGTTGACTTTACGAATGTATTTTTATTTTACAAAAAAAAAGAAAATCACTACAGGATTATTTAAAATAGGACATACTGAATTTAAAATAGCATTTGTTTCACAAAAATATTTGCAACATGACTTTTCAGAAAAATACCCAGTCCATAAACCTTAGGTACGTGGAAGAAATATATGTTTAATGTCTTTATTTATTTTATAAAAAAGGATAAGTGCATTTTCAAAGTACTTCTACAACCATGTCTCACCTGTTCCTCTCAACAAGCCAAGGAAAGAAAATGAACAGGTGTTACTTATAAGAAAACCAAGGTTCCAGAAATTAAATAATTGATTTAAATAGCAACAGAACTGGACATAAAACTAGCTCTCTGATTCTTCATTCACCCATAAATAACACATACTCTCAAAAGCTCCACTAAAAATATTAGCATTAGTGGGATGGGACGATAAAGGTGCTGAGTAGGCATAAATAAATATCTGTGGGTTACAAGATTTCCGAGGGAGACGTGGAAAACCTGCAGAGCTCTTTGCCAGGTGTCTGGCATTTGTAAACTCCAGACTGTGAATTAAGAACTGCATTGGGACACAAGTTGAGAATCTTTCAGGCCATGGAAGTTTGCAGGTGGTTGTCAGCAAATAGGACCCAGAGAGACTTAACTTTGGAAAGTGCAACTGACAATCCTCCCTCAGTTCTTGAGGGGTGTGAGCTGAGTAACAACAGTATTACACGCACACCCCAAAACCACAAAATTGCCCACATCCTGGGCCTATGGACCAGGGTTTCCGCTTCAGTCTCCTGATCCCCAGCTCTGATTGACAAATCCCAGAAAAAATGACTTCATGGATTTTTGTGTCTTGAAAAGCTGAGGTCCCTTCTTCCCTAATTCACTCTGGCAAGATGGAAGCTTCTCTCCCTGGTCCAGGAAAGCTGATGTTTGGTGTTTCCTGGGAGATTATGATTCTGCCTCAGATCTTTTTCTTGATTTGGTGTTTGTCTTTCCAATCGAGGATAAGCTGTGCTCTAGTTATCAGGGGCCAAAAAGCTCAATGCTGTCCAGTTTCCCTTCTTTGTAGAACACGATATTCTCCATCAGTTTCTTTTTGGCCTCATTGATCTCGATTCTCCATGAAGTCTCTGTAGCTGATGTTCAGCAGAAAGTTTAAAGAAAGAACTTCAACAAAAGGCATTTGGAAATAGTTACTATTATTATAGTTCTTAGAAAGTCAGACTTGGTCAGTTTCTCACTTAAATCAGATTTCTGAATCAAGCCCTGAACCTAATGAACATCTTCATTATTTCTGCCTTTGCAGTGAAGTCCCACCACCTGCCCCCACTTTTCTGAAAGAAGGGGGCTTCCATGCTCCTTCCATGGATGGGAGACGTTGGGATGAACATTTACACCCCCTCTCTCTTTTCCCTCCTCTCTCCTCCCAGTGGGAGGAGGAGCAATAGGAGTGGTAGAGCCTGGGACATTCATTAAGCCATGTTTACTAGGGGAGAGGGACACTGCATTGAAAAGGCCTCTCAAATTTTTATTTCAGAAGAAAGCCTGGGATATTTGGAAAGGAGAGACAGAAATAGTAGGAGTTTTGACTTGGTCCCTAAGTACAATGGGGAGCCACACAAGGGCTTTAAATAAGAGGTGGCATGAGTTGTTTTTAAAAACCACTCTGGAGGCACCTGGGCAGCTCAGTCATTAAGCGTCTGCCTTCGGCTCAGGTCATGATCCCAGGGTCCTGGGATCGAGCCCCGCATCAGGCTCCCTGCTCAGCGGGAAGCCTGCTTCTCCCTCTCCCACTCCCGCTGCTTGTGTTCCCTCTCTCGCTGAGTCTCTCTGTCAAATAAAGAAATAAAATCTCAAAAAAGAAAAAAAGAAAAAAAACCACTCTGAAAATAAAAAATTAAAGTAAAATAATAAAATAAAAAATAAAAACAAGGAAGGGAGGATACAGGAAGGCTGTGTGGTCATCCAGCAAGGGGACAGTAGCTTAGTTAAGGGGGGAGGGGCGCGAGGCAATGCAGAGAAGCAGATGGAGCTGAGAGATATTTAGGCCAATGAATAGACTAGGTGATGGACCGGACATAGGGGCCAGAGAGAGAGGGAGGTATCAAGGATGACCCCCATCCGAGGTTTCTTTGTGTGCAGTCTGCTGGTAGGTGAACGGCTGAATAATTAAGGAAGGCATGAATGAGCGTGATAGAAGGAATAAATGATGAGCTGAGTTAGAGACACATGAATGAGCTTGCATATGCACTCAGATCTCCACACGCTTACCATCCTGGGGAGGCTCCGGCCTGGCAGAGGCCACAGAGAAGGAGTCTGCCTGCACTCCCGCACAGACCTGCAGCCTGCCTTCTCCATCCTCTGTTGAAGGGAGTGAGGCGGTAGCCCCAGCCCGAGGTGCTACCTTCATGGAGGAGGAGGCCTCGAGGCTGGAATTGTCCACGTCGTCTGTTTCTTCTGGGGTGTTGGAGGAAGAGCCTGTGCCCTCAGAAAGCCCACTCAAAGGGAGCAACGTCTCCTGACCTCTGAGCTGCTTTTCCACAGCCGCTACAGAGCCACACACCTTGGGGAGAGAAGAGACAACAATTCTTTCTGGAATCGGGGCGCCTGGATGGCTCAGTCCGTTACGCGTTGGACATTTTATCTCAGCTCAGGTCTTGATCTCAAGGTTGTGAGTTGGGCTCCATGCTGGGCATGGAGGCCTACTTTAAAAAAAAAAAAAAAAACCTCTTTCTGAAATCAAAAATCTTACAGAT